TTGGTCTTCAATGTCGGCCATTGCCTTTTGTAGAACTTTTCGATTGGTGCTTTGTATCAAAGATATGATTTTAAGAATGCACTCTTCCTATACTTAAAATGACTTTTGACCCATATAATAGTGGTGCACATCTTATGAACTGTCCATTTCTATTTTATCGATAAAAATTCAATGACCAGATGGTTTCTGCTAAGACTGCTGGTGCAAGATTAATTGCTTGGATTTCAATTTGCTCAAAAAAATCCACCACAGTTATCTTAATATAACCTAAAGTCTTCAGGAAGATTATCATGCCATACAATGATAGAGCAAATACAACCATGCCTTAGTCATCATTTAAATGCTCTTAAATAAAATGTTAGAAAAAATCCTAATGGATACCGAGATGTTCACCTTTAGGCTTTGCAAAAAAATTTATGGTTTCTACTTTTATCCCCATAAGCTTGGCCAACTTTTTACGATAACTTGATTTCAGCTTTTGGGTAAATATTTTATCATGACACTGTAATTCTATCCCAAGCAAAACTGAGTACTCTTTAATAGTTGGCACCAAATCTTTATGATTAAAAGTGAAGTATTTATAGGACAGATCCCAAAATTGTATAGCTATTCTAATCAACTATTCGTCCATCACTACCAAAATAAGGGATGCAATCTGCCCATACTTCTTACAAAAGTTTTTTTTTTTTTTTCATTTAACTGACCCCAGATAATGGCTAAGTCTTCTAAGTCATTTTGTGTGAGATCCAAATGCACTTTCTTGGGAAACTCTGACACATAACCTTAGGCAAACAATCTCTATTTTTTTGCTGGGCTTCCTTTGACCAAATATATACTTCATTATATGACTCACATGGGACATTGACAGAGGATGAGCAAATCTGTAGTTTTACATGATCCATGAAGACTACTTAGAAGAAAAGTGTCCTAAAGCAAATATCTCGATGCAAAACTGTATGATATGATTTATGTAAAAAGAAAAAAAAAAGGAAAATAAAATCGAGTTAGTGTGAGGATGTGGTTTGAGATTGAAAAGTTTTTTTTTTTGTTTTGTTTTCATTTTTGTTTATGTTTCTTATTACACACAACTTTTATTCCTACATACTTTGGTAGTTTTTAAAAAAGATGGGCAAAACTTTACCTAAGGTTAGCCTCTTACGGCTTATTATATGCTTGGTTCAGGTTCATATATGTTTGAAGGTTCTCAAATTACTCCTCATTGTCATTCACGCAGGACTAGTAAAGCACCTCGATCCTCACCCATTACAGACTACGAACGAAAAAGGTTCAATTTGAGTGAAAGTATTTCACTTGCCATTACAGAAGTTATCACCTCATGAGAGCATAGGTACTTTACTTTTTCCTATAAGAGATGGAGCCCGAGTATAAAGCTCATGCATGAGATGCATTGTGTCATTGTGTGTGCATGTTTCCTAATTTATTGGGAATAATACATACGAAAATAAATAAATAAATAAAAGTAATGCGTATAAAAATTTTTCATTTTTGGTTTGTTTTTTATTTGTTTGGCTTTTTTGAAAGCAAAAAGAATCTAGGAATTAAAAAAAAATACCAACTAAGACTGTTTAAATTAAAATTTAAGGATAACACGTAGTTAATTTTGGCTTGACTCTTAAAAACAAATGGGTTCCCCAGTGGAGTCGCCAAGCTGTCGTAATGTTTTTGTATCCGTCAGACGAATTCGAAAATAAAATAAAAAATAACAGAGTCACCACCAATCTTTTTTAGCTAGGTGCGATTGGCCACCTATTAAGACATATCCTTTTAATGAAATCTTAAAATTAATTAAAATTTATCAAAAGAATAATTTTTAGTGTCTGTGCAATAGTATGGGTTCAGGAGTCGGTTACTTGTGAGGAAAAGACTAGCACCCTCATAACACCCGTTTAAAACGGTACCAATTAATTACGTGTTATTTGTTGATTTTGATAAAAACAGTCTTATTTTCGATGTTTGAAAAATAATTTCCTTGGTTTCAATTGTTTATTGAAATTTTGATTTTTTTCTTTTATTATTGTTCCATATTTATTGTTCAAATTTTATTTGAGAAAAATAAATTAGAACCCTTTTATTGAAATAATTCTTAAAATATTTCAGTAGTTAGTAACATTAGAAGAACTCTTTCTTACCTAAAGATTTCTTAGGCATCGCTTTTCGGAATACTTTAAAATCTGATCATCGAAGGTTTAAATTTACTTTTCGTAATAACTTTATTATGCATGCAATACAAAATGCTGATATATTGATGCATGTATTCTATTCTCTAATGTTGATTTTTTTATTTAATTTCTTTTTTATTTAAATTTTTGAAAAAAAAGAATTTTTATTATATTGAAGTTTTTTAATAAATATTCCAATACATTGATAATATTTAAAGAAATCCTCTCACCTAGGGATTTTATAAAGCATCACTATTCTGAATACTTTTAGAATCCTATCATTAGATAAAATTTTCTTTTTCTACATTTATATTATTATTATTTTTAATTTATTAGTAAAAAGAAAAATTTTTATATAAATACTCCAATACACTGGTAGTATTTAAAAAAAATCTCTCACTTAGAGATTTCGTAGGTATCACTACTCGGAGTACCTTTGAATCTCATTGTTGGTTAAAATTTTCTTTTTTCTACATTTTTTTACTATTTTATAAGATTTATTCTAAAATTAACAAAATTATCAAAAATTTGTATTATATATTTCATCATTTATTTCTGTTAATTATTATTATAAACAATAAAAAATTTATTTTAGTAAATTTGAACATTTTAACATACATAAAAGTTAATAATACAAATTTAAAATAACAAAAATAATATATAAAAAATCTAAAAAAATTTTTAAAAAAAAATTTACCTGAACTGGAATCGATCAATGGTCCGGTTGACACCAGTCTGGTCCGATTAGTTCGATGGTTCAAATCTAATATGGTTTGGGTTCAGCGATTCGAGGACGGTCCGGTTCGATCTGGATTGATTCAACTGGATCGATCAGAGGCTGAGGGAGAAGTGGGTCATTAGGTTGAGTGCGGGCACTCCAAGTCAGATCTTGGGCTGATGCATAGATCCTTTACAATTCAAAACGACGTCATTTTGACAGTTACTGAAACAACATCGTTTTAAGGTTAGGACTTCTATATAAAAGTCATAATTTTTTTAGCTCATTTTCCTTCCCTTCTAAAAAAAAAAAAAACACTCTCCCCTCTCCTTTTGTGGACAAAACCTAATGGAATCGGTCGATCGTCGTCACCACTAGGGGTGTAAATGATACATTAGTACTCGCAAGCTACTCGGGTTCGATTCGAAAAAAACTCGAATTCGGTTCGATTATTGTCGAGTCGAGCTCGAGCTCGAGTAGCTCGACTTATCGATCGAGCCGAATTCGAGTATTCTTATATTTGACTCGAGTAGCTCGCGAGCCTAATCGAGCTTTTATATTTAAATATATTTTTATTTTTTTTAATTAATAAAATATTTCGAATCCAAGTTCGAGCATGAATAATCGAACTTTTGTCGAGTATACGAATCGAGCTTATTTTTACATATTAATCGAGCTTAATCGAGCAAGCTCGAGTAGCTTGAATTCAATCACGAATCGAGCTCAAGCTTGAAAAATAAAACTCGATCGAGCTCGAGCCGAGTATCGAGCCCCGAGTTGTGAGTCGAGCTCGAGCTCGAGCTCGAACTTCTCACTACTCGGCTCGGCTCGGCTCGTTTACAGCCCTAGTCACCACCACCACTGGTCGTTGGTCGCTGTCGTTGGTGATAAAATTTTTTTTAAAATTCACTTAATACTCCTCCCAACCTCTAGAGTCTAGATCTGAGCTTGATTTACGAAAATAGGCTCCAAATGGCATAGATCTGTCCTGGAAGGTTCGGTCGATTTTTTTTTTGTTTGTGTTGTTTTTTTTGTTTGATGCTGTGGTCCTCATTTCCAAAGGCTGAGTTTTTTTTTGCTGGGTTTGTATTTGGTTTGCTTGATCTTAGGTTTCTGTTTGACAAATTTTTTTTTAAAAATCTAGCAGAACCTTTTTTTTTTACAGGGCTTCTGGTTTTTTTTTTTTCCTTTTTTAAATCGATGGCTTTCTTTTTGTGTAGGCAATGAGCTCTATTTATAGAGCTTTTTTGATATTCAAATCTCAAATTTTTTGAGATTTAGATCCCAGATTTTCAACCGACTTGGACTTTTGGTGGCCAAAATTCACGCTGCCAAGTTAGGTAGGGTATCAGACGACTGTCGGTGGTGGCGGTAACTAGGATTTTAGACTTTCGGGGATGGTGCATTTAATGCATTCATATTTTAGTTAAACCGATCAGAACAAAACAAAAAGAAGAAAAGGAAAAAGAAAGAAAGAAAGAAGAAAAATAGAAAAAGAAAGAAAAAAATATAATAATAATAATTATAGACACCCCATTTTGTTCGGAGTTTTCGTCAATGACAAGTTTGATACAAGCTCAATTGTAGAATTTTATTTATTTTAAAATTTATTTTATATTTATCATATTTATTTATTTATGTTATTTAGTTTTAGTTTAATTTCATCATTATCTGTTTTTTTTTTTTGAAGGTTGGACTTAATGGGAGGAAGTGAGCGGTAGTAATAGGGTTGGAGTGGGATTCAGGAAGATAAATTTCGGTTTTCTTTATAACACAAACATAATCACAATTGTTTTAAAATTCTCATAAGTTTAGTCCTATAAATAACAGAAGAATCAATGGGAGAGAAAAGAGAGAGATCATAAACGAATCACAGAAAAAAATCCAAAGATCAAAAACACGCAAGAAAATCAGCAGTGAAATAGAGAAATTGGCATAGCTTGTGTTTAGAGCAGCAACATGTAGTAAACCATCGTGTAGAGTCACCAGCTGGTGGGAAGAAGCAAGGAAAGAAGTGCCCTGACTGAAAGTCTAAGAAAGAGAGAAGCAAACCAGAAAAGTACAAAGATTTTATAAAGCCAACAAATTAATTTTTGAGAGATTTTAGTTCAAAAGCCCATGTGCTCACAAGCTCCAATTCCCATTCTTGTGAAGAGTTTTGTTTATTTTCATCAATGACATAGCAGGAGGCCGGAACGGAGGAGCCGAGAAGGCAGTGGCAGTGGAGTTCACGACGATGAAGCCACAGCTGATGGTGGAAGCACCAAAGGTAGTTGATGCAGTGCAATTCTACAAGATCGCGTTCCACGCTATCGCTAATGGCTGTACTCTTTACCCCAAGTGCAAGGCTAAGCAGGAGCTTCATATCCTCTCTGTTCAGCTTGAGCTCACTGGCTTTACCATTCTCGTATCTGACATCGCTGATGACTCTGCTCCGGTGAAAAGTGAGGAAACTGAATGTGTGCTTTGCACCAAGACTGAGGATGTGAAAGCTGTTATAGCCAAAGTCGTGAGCGCTGGAGCCGTTGCAGAGGGCAGCTATGCATGCTGTGGTGGACATGTGGGCAACGACAAGGCTCCCTATGGATACAATTGGCTCATCTGCTCTCTTGCCAAGAATGCTGCTAACGTCCCTACACTATTGGGATCTGGTTCCTTTTCGCTTTTGAATTTTGAAAAGAGTATAGAAAATAGGCAGGGGAAGCCTATACCTGCCTATCTGCGTTGGCCTCAAATGCAAGCTGATCAAGTTCGGGGGCTAAGTATAAGGGAAATTAATGGGAGGTTTTGGAAGCATCACCGATCTCCTTTATGGTATATGATTAACGTAATAAAAAAATTGTACAATCTTGCAGATCTTTCTTTCACATCTATTCATATCCCACATGCAAAAACCCATTTTTTAACTTGTAAGTGAGAATATAAGGCCAAGATTCAAAGACTTTACAATTATATATATATATATATATATATATATATATAAATAGCATTTCTTGGCATCTTCCCTTGATTGTTACTATTAATTATATAGTAAAAGTAGCTTGAACCACCAATGATTTTGGCCCTAAACAATTAATTTAAAATTAATTTTTGAGTGAACCCTATGCTTAATCTAATTAATTTATATAATCACATTAAAATGTGACATTCAATGGATTTGAAGGTTAAATTTTAATACTTATGATTCCTTCTTTTATATCGATCTCCTATGTTAAAAAAAATAATTTGAGTATCCTAAAGTTTATTCATAAAGTTTGATTTGGCTAGAAAATCTCACAATTTTACAATCTTTTCCATCAACTCATATGTTACAGAATACTTTTTCAAAATAAAAAACCTTTATAAATTTTGGCAGGAGCAACCCAACAAATTTTAAAGCTACAATAAAGGCAAAATTTTGGTGGGGTTCCATAAGCCTAATTAACACTGTGAACTCAATCCATGTTCCACCAAAATTTACTGCAACTGCACTTCAGTATTAAAGCCTTGAGAAAACGATTTGCAGATTCAGATCCTAAGAATCTAAACAATCTTTATCGTCTCACCCTCTCACACCTCACCCACCAATTTTCATTTCAAGACTAGTAGTTAAGAATGTTGGGTTGCTATACTTGACAGTTGCACATGTACATATTTCAAAAACATGCTACACTAGTCTTGACAAAAACTTTGAATCATCAAAATGTAAGTCATCAAATCAAGTAATAAAAGAGAGAATGAGCTAAAACACTAATCGGTAGTACTGGGAATTGCTTAGGGAGACAAATAGTTGACAGGTATGAACTTGGGAGCTGAAATAATGATGGCAGTAGTGGGGTTGTCGGCATTGCTTTTGAGAATATTGATGTAAGGTTTGCAACAGAGATGATTGAAGTGATGAGGTACGTGTTTCACCGGATTCTGACAGGGTGACCTTCCGTTTTCTCTACTTATCTTCCTTACTCCGACGCTGGCTCGTTTCTTTATTGGTACTAATAACAAAGGTTCATTATCTACAATTTATTCATCTCAGGTTAGTTTCAGGTTCAAATAGAAATGAAGAAAGAGAAAAATAAGAGAAACCCTTTTTTTTTTTTTTTTTTTCTTTTTCAAGAAATTACCTCTACGGCAAATAATTTTATACGATGTATAAATCAATTCAGTTAAATTATTAAAATTTGAGGCACATACAGTTGACTAATTGTTAGATTTTAGTTCTTTAAATTTTTATTTCCAAATCCCAATTCCAAACCTAATCATCTTTTGTTTTCTTTAACTTTTGTGTATTATTTCTCTAATGGCGGCTATGGAGGTAATGCTGAGAATGGTGAAATTTGCAAAGCTCAAATTGCGCGTATGTTACTTTGTCATAGAGGTGGTCAACTTAGGGTTTTTATTCTTTTCTTGCTTTTTCCTTTTCCTTTAATGGTGGGTTTGAATCAAAATTTCAGTCAAGCCTGGAAAGGGTTCAAATCTAAACTTGATTCTTCCTTCAAATATTTAAAGTGAAAGGCAGTTTTGTTAAATTTCGAGATTTTTTTTGGAATAATTTAATTATTTAATGTTCAGTTCATATTACTAGTTCTAATAATAAACACAAAGAAAACGACGATTTAGTTGGCATGAGTTTTGGAATTGAATTAATTTAATACCCTAATTGGCTGATGTTCTTCTTAAAAAAAAAAAAACCATGAAATCGACAAATTAAAATATAGTACTTGAGACTTTATTTCATATTTTTTTAATTAAAATTTGATTATTGAAATTAAAAGTCTATTTCATTTTGCATGCGTATTAATTTAAGGCAATATGAAATAAATATGACCTAAATATTGCAGCCATCAAAATGAAATACCAATTCAATATTTATAAATTGTAATGCCAAAGCCCAATCATATATGAAGGGATGTGATGTTAAATGTTTAATTAATTGTACTAAATCAAGTTAGAATCATTAATTACTAAGTCATGAAAAAATTGATGATAGGGCTAATATTGGTTAGATTAATTAATTTTCAAAGAGTAAATTATGTCAATTTATGCAATCAAGTTCAAAGAGCAATTTCACATATCCTTTTCATAATTAAAAAAAAAATTCTTGTTAATTTATATTCCTGTCTTCTAATTTGTTGATAAAGCAATTTTCAATTCATAATCGTATATGATACTCAAAAGGAAAACAAAATGAAGCCACTTAATAATGCACTAAGACTTAGAATAGCCATGAAACTAATCTTTTAATTTTATTTTAACATCAAATTCTGTTTCTCTAATCATCAATTAATAAAATAAAAACCTAAATAGGTATGAATATCATTAAGTTGAATCTTATTACAAACGATTGTACAAATGAACCAAAGATTTAAAAGTATACGTATGTTTCTTTTTCTTGTTTCAGTTACAAAGTGTACAAGTAAAAGAAGACGAACAAAGGACAGAATCATTAGGCTTATTAACACGAATTGAATAATGCAAATGAAAACATAGAAAATGTGATGAAGAAATATTAACACTCTTGGATGGCATCACCATAGCTTTGAGCCTGATCAAAGAGTCATTGGAGTAATCTTCAATCCAATCTCTTAAACATCTGCTCCTCACTTTCCATCTCAATCAAGCTTTCGATCACAATTTCTGAAGCACTTGTCACCACATCCGACCAATTTCTAAATAACATTGAAAAAAAACTAAGTAAAAAGATTTCCACAAATTTATGAAATTAGCCAAAGAATTAAGATGATAGCCAATAAAAGACTGATTCATCTTACCCGTTTAAAGAGTCGAACGTGAGCCCTACGGTATACTTTGCTTGCTCAAGAGCTAATTTGAACCTTTGGAAATCCTTCGCTGGAACTCTATTGTTCTCAACACGAAGTTGTGAAGGCTTAATGTCGCAAAAGATGGGAATGACCTTCTTCTTAGACTCCATAATAAGAGCTAATTCATGAAGGCAGAAGTAGGACTGGCAATAATTTGGTGAGAAAACAGTAACACCAATCTTAGAATTCCTTATCGCGTTATCGATGTTGTCGAACAACTTATCTCCTGGTTTCATATTCTTGTTGTCCAAGAAAGGTTGTAGGTTTAGTCGTGAAAGGTGATCGTAGAGTAAGGTTGCTATAGTTCTCTTGGTGTCAATGCCTCTATGATTAATAAAAACATCAAAAGCTTTATTTGTCATAAAACGAATTGCCATCTTACTTGGTGATGTTTGGCGAGCAAGAAAGCTTCGATGGAAGTTCATCATGGCTGCTGGCATATGCATGTTTTCGATCAAGAAAGAAAATAAAGGAAAACCCTAATTATATTTTTCTCTATCAACCTTTTTTCTTCTGTGGCTTGTCTCTCAAGATTGTTGGCTGCTAATGGTATATATAGAAGTCTCTAATTGAATGATTTGGCCTAAAAGTTCATTCTAAATGTTGGATTTAGAATATTCGCTTACAAGCATTTTTACTTCTATAGTTGAATTGAAAGAAAGAAAATATGAAAGATTGAACAATTTAGCGACGACGTGTAATTGGTTTTGACAACGGGAAGTAAGGAAACAAAAACCTTGACCAATTCTATGCCTTTCGAAAATTTTCATTGTCCCTTCAAATAAGTTACATTGAAACCTCTCTTTCTTTTTCTTTCTCTTTTTCTTTTATATTTTATGGGAAAAATAATTTTGACTACAAACATTTTACATTTTTACCATATTACGAAAATAAATAAATAAATATGAAAAATTATTTGATTCATTATCAATGGAATTTTTAGATTTTATAAATAAAATTAACAAAATAACATATATTCCTTAGATTATATTTAAAAAATAAAAAAATAATTAAAAAATGAAACATTTGCTAATTTTTTAACATCGCTTATGAAATTAAAAAATTTACTGAATGCCTTAAAAAACGAAATTTAAAAGTTATAAGCCTAAGAAGAGAAGCAAAGGACAGTCATGAAAAGCACATGTTAAAGTTGGTGCTTGGGTACTTTGACTGTTTGATCAAACAAAGATACCATGAAACCAAAAAAAAAAAATTCTTAGTCTTTCACCCCATTGAAGGAATTTCTCAGTAGCAAAATGGCAACTTTTCTCTCACTGTTCCAAGATTTGGGTTTTGACTTGCACCAACAAACTGAGAAAACAACTAATTTTTCAAAATGAAGGAAAATGGAAAGAAAGAAACTGTGGAAGAATGGTATTTTCTTAATTTATTGGAGGGGAAAACATTATGCTACTCCTTCATTCCACAGCAATTTTTTTGTTATTAAATTGTAAATCTATGTAAATAAATATTTCAAATTTAATTATATGTATGTCATACTTTAAGTATTTGTTGACCTAAGAATATACCACTAATAAAACAATATGGGTTTAATTTGGATACTTATAAACATCCAATTAATGGTTCTACACGTTTAATCTCAATATATTTTCTTCTCTTATTATTTTGTATATAATATTTAAACATTTGACTTAATGGTAAGAGCATGTCATATTTCTATGCCACAGATTTTATACATGTGCAAAATACATTAAACAGGGTTTCAGTTTTCTCTCTTCAATTTTCAATGTTCAAGTCTTCTATCGACAACCTGTCCCCTATTATTATTATTATTATTTTTTAACAAAGAGCAGAGCAGCCATATGTGATTTAAATAAATTTTTATAAAAAAGAAGGAGAGAGCAAAGCAAAAGGCAAAATATATATATAAAAAAGGTTGATTGGAGTTAATGATTACTAAGATTTGTGATAGTAGCATTTTTTGATCCAAAATATAAATTGATTTTTTCTTTCATTAGAAATTATTAGTAAATAATCAGAGACATTTTTAATTTTTGTATCAACTTAATATATACAATATCACGTTAATTTGATTATATTATTATTTTATCCCATAAATTCTTCATTTTTTACTTATAAATAGAGTTGTTTATGTACTATCAATCTAATATAATATTTTCCTTACTTTTTTTTTTTTATTTTTCTCTCTTTTTAATCTCCGGCCCTTATTTTAACCTTTGACTTTAAAATGCAAACATAAAAAACACCTCTTATCTTTACACTTAACTACTCTCTTTCTCACTTACAATTTTACAATCTTGATCCTTAACTCAGAACTTGATATAAACAATTTGAATATTTCAATTCATCAATCCAATATTGTTACAAAAAAATAATACATTAATTACAAATTAAATATGTAAGCAAATGTTAATTTTGCCACTGAAATAGTTGGAATCAAATTGACCAACAAAACATGGTAAGTTTTTCATGGAAAGTTTTCCTAGTATCATTTCTATTTCTATAAAATTGGCTAAAGAAACAGATTAAAGAGAAAGGTCTAGCCGCCTAGCATCCCAAAACCAATCAACTAGGAATTAAATCATAAGTAAAACATCTTTCTTAAAAAAAAAAAAAATCGTAGGTAAAACATAGTCAAAATAATCACAAAATCTGTCTCCCACATGTCTTGTATTGTATGTGTTCCCTTGGGACAGCTTTAACCTTTCACACTAACTGAAAAATTGCTGATAGCTGAACATGATATCATTAATTTGACAAAATTCTGATTGCAATCACCCTTGAGCCAATCTTCTTTCATCTTTTTTTCAAGGCAACTTATGAACAAATAAAAAATTTCCGAGATATTCAGACTTAAATTCAACTTGGTAATCATAAGTCCAAACTAGGGTTTTCTAATCTAGAATATGAATGCTAGCTAGCTTTAATCCCATCCAAATCCAAAAAAAAAAATAAATAAATAAATAAAAATAAAGTTTAAAAGTTCAATAATCCCTTAATTTTCTAATTTAAATCTTTATTGGATGAAAATTGTTAACTATCATTATCAATTTTTATCTAATTAAATGTTCTATAAAATGAAAATAAATATTTAAAAGTTTAATTCAATGAAATAAATATTTGAGAGCCCTATTAATTATCATAAAATGATAAAAATTGAATGATCATTAAATTTTAATTTAAAAAAACATTTTTATATTTAATCCAAAAAGATTTTTTTTTGGCAGCTTAGGACATTACATCGTGGTTCTAGTTGTTGGTTTTCAACAGTGATGATGTATTTAGGGTGTGTTTCATACCTTTTTTGCTGTACTAGTTCTGGAATATAAGAGGTTAGGAAACGGTCCAATAGCCAATAAACATATAGTATTAAACAAATTGCTTAAAAGAAATCGGTGCTTGTCATAACATATAAATTCGAAAATCTATAACTAGATTTATCAAATGAATAAAATCATCACTAATCTTTTTTATTAGGTATGATTGGTCATCTAAAGAATCTATCATTTTAAGGAACACCTAAGCTTAAGGGTCTCTAAAAGAATAGGTTCGGATCTATTAACCAGAATAGGGTTCGAGAGTCGGTTATATATGGGGAAGGTTATAGCACCCCCACATGCCCATCCGAAAGATGGTACTATATTATTTCGAATTTATCCTAGTGTATCGAGTCTAATGGTTTCAAATTTTAAGTTAAATATTGAAAATAATTTTTAAGATTCTCCATCAATCTAGTAGAACTCTTTAAAAAATATTTTCTCACCTCAAAAGTATTTAAGAATTTTATTTATTTCCTTGAAGAGGCTCCGTCGTCGAAAAAAAATTTAATTATTATTAGTCGAAAATATATCTAATTATTCCACCATTTGAGCTAAATTAAAAATATTTTTTCTTTTTGAATTTCTAAAATTTTTCACAATTTGGACCTAGTTAGAAATTCTTTTTAGTTTTTCTTTGGAAAAAAATAATATAACAATTACTAAAATTTTTCACAATTTGGACTTAGTTAGAAATTCTTTTTATTTTTTTTTTGAAAAAAAAATAATATAACAATTACTTTTATTGAAAATTTTCATCTAAATTATTCCACAATCTGTGCCAAATTTAGAGAAAATTTCTCATCTAGAGATTTCTTAGAAATTTATCATTTGAAATTTCTAAGAATCTCATCCTTAGATAATTATCAAATATTTTCAATCCAAATTTTTATTTAGAGAAAAAAAATACAATTACTTGTATTGAAATTTCTTCTAAATCATTCCACCATTTGGGCCAAATTTAGAGGAGATTTCTCACCTAGAGATTTCTTAGAAATTTACCATTTAAAATTTCTAAGAATTTCATCCTTAGGTAATTTATATTTAATTCCAAAATTTTTATATTTTTATGCTTTTTATGTTTTTAATTTTTTTGGTTTGAAAATAAATATTAATTATTGTTATTGAAATTTTATCTAAATTATTCCACCATTTGAGACAAATTTAGACAAAATTTCTCACCTAGGAATTTTATAAAAATTTACCATTTGAAATTTCTATAAATTCCATCATTGGATAATTAATATTTATTCTCAAATTTTTTATTTTTTATTATTTTTTTATCATTTTAATTTAATAATAAAAAACTAAAAAAACAAATAAATAAAATGCTTAAATAAAATAAATAAGAAAATACCAAAAAAATCTGAAACGGCTCGGCTCAAGACAGAAATCACCGCTCAAAACGTGACTCAGGGCAATCGGCTCGGCTCAACTCAACATGATGGTTGGCTAGAATGCAGGTCAACGAATTGGGTTGCGATCGGGTTGGGTTGAACCAAACAAAAACGCGCGGATCTTCTGGGATTTTTAACGCCAAAACGACATCGTTTTAGCAGGGTATAAAAGGCTCCGAACTCAACCTTTCAGCAAATTAATTCTTTCCTTCTCTCTTTCCTATTCATTTTTTTCTCCCTTCTCTCTAAACAAAAACCAGATTCCGGTTGAAGTTCTGTCGAAATCTAAAAAACCCGTTGAAAACTTCAAAGTTGGCAGGAATACTCATTGGAAAACTTAAATATCGTCAAAAAATTTCGTTAGATTCTGAAAATTTTCTAGAAATTTTCCAAAAAAAAAATGCCAAAAGTTCTCCAAAAATTCCTAAAATTTCTAAATTACTTCTAACCACTCCTAGAATATTTCTAGACTCTGCCTTCTATTTTTTAGCTTTCTGATTCGTCTCTGTTTTTGTGTCATCTCCTATGTTTTTGATCTGTGTGTATTTATAAGAATTTAATCTCAGAGTCCCTAACCAATCCGAATTCCCTTTCTGATTAGATTTCTACTCGTTGAATTTATCCAATACATGGTTTAATCCAACCATGATTCTCTGCTGCCCTTATTTACGGCAGAAATCCGTTCCCATTTTAAGTATCATCTCTTAATTAATCAAGAAAAGAAAAGATAAAATAAAATAAAATAATAAAAAAATAAATAATGATAATAATAATAAATAAAAGTAAATAATAAATAATAAACAAAAAAAGAAAATAATAATAATGCTAATAATAATAATAATAATAAAAATAAAAATAATGTGGGTCTATCTTGCCCATTTGAGCCAGGCCCAATTAATTCGGACCTGGACCAAATTAGGTGTCTACAGCTACCTTTCTTTGCACATTTCCTATGAAACAGGAATTGTGCAAAGACGTAGACATCTATTCAAGACTCGACTCGACACTTTTTGTTGTGTTTTTTTTTTATTAAAAACTTTATCAAAGCTCTCTAATCAGAGGCTCAATGACTTTTGAAAAGACAAACAAAGCTTCTCTAAGCAGAGGCTCAATGACTTTGGACAAATAAACAAAGCTCTTCTAAGCAGAGGCTCAACAACTTTGAAAAATAAACAAAGCTCCTCTAAGCAGAGGCTTAACGACTTTGGAAAGATAAACAAAACTACTCTAAGCAGAATCACCACAATTTTGAAAATAAATTGCTCCTCTAAATAGAGGCACCACAACTTTTGAAAATAAATTGCTCTTCTAAACAGAGGCAACCACGACTTTTAAAAAAATAAATTGTTCTTCTAAATAGAGGCAACCACGACTTTGAAAAAAATAAATCATGTCCAAAGGAGTTATAAATCAGATTTGATGAAATTTATAATGGGAACTCAAATATTCTCAATTTGAGTTCAAAATTCAAAGGTTCAGATTCACAAGAACCTTTCAGCTTCATAAGAATTCATTGAAATTTGACTCTCAAAATTTCAGTTTCATAAGAATTCAAATTTGCAAGATCTTAAAATTCGCATTTGTAAATTATAAAACTAGCATCCACATTCAAAGAGTCTCATTTGAATTTTAGAGATTCACATCCAGAAGTTTAAAGCTTCTTATTTGAGTTCAAAGGTTCACATTTGATAAATTTGGGGTTCACACCTTAAAGATTCTCATTTGAAATTCAAAGATTTTCATTTGAAATTTAAATATTCTTATTTAAAATGCAAAGATTTTCATTTGAAAACGTTTTAAAGATTCTCATTTAAGACTCAAAGATTCTCATTTGAAAACATCTTAAAGATTTTCATTTAAGACTCAAAGATTCTCATTTGAAAATGTCTTAAAAATTCTCATTTAAGACTCAAAGATTCTCATTTGAGGATTTCTTATTTAAAACTCAAATATTCTCATTTGACACTCAAAGATTTTCATTTGAAATTCAAAGATTCTCATTTGAATTCAAATTTTCATCAAAATATTCAAAAATATTTTCCTAATGAGCTTCAAACTTTCACCAGAGTCAAAATTTTGTGTGTACTAAATGTCATGATTAATTATGCAAATGCCTCCTTAATGATGCAAATGCAATAACCTAGATTCTCATAATGCCATATTCTAAGCCATAATTCAAATGCTTATGGACTAACGCAAATGCATATCTAAACTAAAGTTTCAAACAATTTCCAAATAACAATGCAAACGTAATGCATGTAATGTGAATGTCAATAATGTCATGAAATCCTAAATAACTGTAGTAATATGGCTCTCAAGACTCTATCATTTTAAGCTTCTTAGTACTGGCCATCTCATAATAGGTTCTATCTTCTATCGCTTGATCATCGCTCATAAGCTTCTCGATACAAATTTTGTCCTTTATCACTTGATTATCATTCATAGGCTTCTAAGCACCAGCCATTTCAGAATAAATTTTCTCCTCTGTCACTTGGTCATCGTTCATGGGCTTCTCAACACTAGCCATTTCAGAACAAATTTCATCCTTTGTCACTTGGTCATCGTTCATGGACTTCTTAGCACCAGTTTCATCTATTGCCCTATATCATTTCATGACTCATAGGCTCTTCAGTACTAGCAATTTTAGCATAAATTTCATCCATTGACCTATACTATTCTCACTATTTAACCACATCTCATAACTTATGCCAGCTAATCCATCACCATGTTCATTTCTGGATCATATCATTTTTTTAGATTTTGTTAAGCAATCGATCCCCATGTTCATCATTTGGCCATCCCATATGTCATTTTTCAAGTTTTTGCCATCTCTTCATCATTTTTGCCTTATCATCTTAGGTTTTTTTCAACGAAATACAAGACCTTTTTTTTTATGTATACTGTCATTCATTCATCATCATTTCAAATCATGACAAATATAATGCAATCATATATTTTCTTGATATGTTTTGGGGATATAACAATAAGAGAACACAAGGTGAATTACAAGAAAGGTAATAAATGAAGAACGAGTTTGATACAAAACAAATGGGGAAAGAAACAAATGTCATTGGGATGAATGGCATATCCAAACAATGAATATTCAGTAATTTTGAATATTAATCCAAGATTTTTTTTCAAAAACTTATTCCATTGACTGTTGAAATCATTGTGAGCTCATCAAACTTTGCCCCAGTTTTTAAAAATCTTTAGAAATTTCGATCCTCTATATGATAGAACTGTCTATCAAACTTTTAGCTTAGATTTTTTTTCTACCCAAATCGCCCTTTCGTGTTTTCAATTTGAGTCCCCATATTCTTTTCTTTCCATTTTTCTCTTTTTCTTCCATTTTTCTCTTTTTTTTTTCCATTTTTTTCATTCTTTTTTCTTTTCTTTTCTTTCCTTCATTCATTCACCTATCTTTCACATCAATCTTTAAAGCAACCAAACATGATTCTGTCATTTCACTATGAGCATGCCTTAGCCCAACATATAACCATTCAACGAGCATTCACATTTGATCCAAATAGACTTTTAAAAGTTGTAATGTAGGCTATGGTGAAGGGTCATAAAAGAAATGGATATAATAGGCTCAAAACATGTATTAAAAGAGTTCAAAACCAAAGGATCATCACTTGATGCTACTTGGCATTTTGCCTCTTTCCACATTATTTCACTACTTTTTTCTTTTTCATCGATCTCATTCTTCACAAAAAGGATTCCCATTTTTTTACCTCAAATCAGGTGTGGCATTTTTCTTTACTCTTTTTTTCTTCTTTTTTTTAGACCTTTTAGACTATTTTCTTTCAAAAATTACCTCTCAGTGTGGAGGGTGATCTTTGGTCAAGGTTCTTTTTAGAAAAAAATCATAATAGGCTTAAAAAGGTAGCAATAAATGATTTTTTAACTGATAAAAAAATGGCCATTTTTCATTTCAAATGTGAATACTTTCCTTGAACATCATCTATTGAGCAAAAACAAGCTCATGAATTTGTATAAAAGATTGCACATCTTCAAGATATATCCATCTCATATCTGTCAGTAACTTTTTTTTGCTCAAATAATCTCCTTAAATCAATGTGAATGAGTTTTCAAAATTAAATTTCAAAATTACTTTTAGCATCATTGTCTAAACATTCCGCATTGATAATAGGAATTGGAAATGAAAAATTATGAAAGGTGACAAAGCACGAAAAAAATGGTTAAATGAAAGAGAAAATGTAATGAAATGCATTATTCTTGCCTTTTATTAAAATGATAACAAATGAAATCCTATTGCATAAAAGAAATCCTAACATTATTTTAAAAGAAATCCTAGAATGACAAGTAGCTTCCAACCAACCTTAACATCTTTCTCTAAAATCATGCCCTTATGCAATCAAGTGAAGAATTTTTATTAACACCTTATCTCCCTGATTCATCAAAACTCACTAAACCTTTCTAGATTAAACTTTACATTTTCTGTTTGAAAGCAGGGCAAGTTTCAATAGAATGATCCACATTCCCACTATGATAATCGCACGTCACATTAGCGTCGTACCACTTTGGATAGGATGGCTTCAATGGTTTTAGAATAACTGGAGATACCAAGTTGTTCTTGATCAGTTCTGGGAATAACTCAGTATAAGTCATGGGATAGGGTCAATTTTTGCTCTTTCTTAGTTATCCTGAGATTTTCTTAAACCATTCATTTGGTTATTAGGCCTTAAAGCTGATGCAGGTACTTGAAAGGCTGACTGTGGATAAGCTGGTTGTGGATGTGGTTGGTAAGGGTAATGTGAGATACTATTCACAACAAGATAGTATGGATAGTAACATTGTGGTGGATAAGGTTGATATCCTCTAAACTGTCTATCAAGGCTCACGGCTTGAGTTTCAATATCTTTCTTCTCTGGTAGCTTTTTGGTTTTCCCTCCTTTCAACTTGCCATTTTTAATGGCATTCTTAATGATTTCGCCTGAGTTCACCATGTCAGCAAAATTCTTTATGGCATTCCCTATCATTTTTCATAATAGAAAGATTTCAAAGTATTGACAAATAATACAATGGTCTCCTTTTCAGTCAAAGGAGGTTGCACCTGAGTAGCCATATCCATCCACCTCTTAACGTATTCTTTGAATGACTCATTTGCCTTTTTCTTCATATTCTATAAAAACAAACGATCAGGGGCCAAATCCATGATATGTCGGTATTGACTGATAAAGTCGTAGGTCATATCACTTCAGGAACGGATACGAGCTCTGTCTAACTGGACATACCACATAGCAACGGAGCCCGTAAGGCTATCCTAAAAGACATGCATTAGTAGTTTTTTATTATAAGCACGAGCTGTCATATTTCGATAGTACATAGTAATATGAGTCTTTGGGCACTTCATACCATTATATTTTTTAAATTTTAGTACTTTAAACTTAAGAGGAATGATCACATCAAAGACTAAGCAAAGCCCAGTAGCATCAACAAAACCATAGAAACCAATTCCTTCCACAACCTGTAGCTTCTATTCTAGCATACTGATTTTTTAGTCTTCTTGAGCTTCGACTTTTACCTTTTCATTCTTTTTTTCTTTCAGTTCATCCAGATCAGCAACTTGATTTGGTTCTACTATCTTTTCAGTGAAGACAAAATTCATATAACTGTGGTAATATCCTAGATCAAAGGCTGATGGCATTTCAGGATATGTAGATATGTGAATTGTTATGATGGAACCTTTTGTGTAGAATGGACTTGAGATGGACCAAAACCAAGTGGATATAGGGGATCAGTCACTTCTTGTGATGTAGGGCCCTATTAGCTTGTATTCTCTTCTACCTATTTCCCCTTATTTAACTTGTTTAGAGCATCTAAAATCTTACTTAACTCATTTTTAAGATTTTTCTAGGCCTTCTCTAATTTTTCAAACTGATGAGATTTTTTTACGTTATTTTTCTAGTTCTGATTCTTGTATTGTATCGATGAGTGGAGTTTATGCTGGATAGAGCTATCCTTAAACCTTGAGTACCATAATTATATGATTATTAGAAACTATGTATTCTATGTATGATATGTAAATGTATGCATGAACTATACTAATATTTACCACATCATCAATATTGATAAAAGAAATCTCCATTTGAAACTTTATTAAATAAAATTTTAAAATTACATCATAATAAAGTCAAAGCAATATTCTAAAGTCCTAAGCATCATTTCTTATTTCTAACGCCTTTTCATAAACTTCCTAGCTTGTTGGTAATGATTTTGTGCCTCATCTAGAAAATCAAGTAAATATCGCTCATGTACTCTCATTGGTTGCACCACAACCTTCAAACCTTTCACTTTTTTTCCATTTTTGATACTTTGTCTGCAGCAATGCATATCTGATCGAACAAATGCCTTAGATGCCTTTGTTTTTCTACGCACATGTCTTTTCATATCTCACTCTGTTGAGCTTGTCTCCTACATTCATCAGACAAGGCTTTTACTTGTGCTGTGTGTCGATCTATTATCTTATGTAGTATCTGGCTATGTCTATGTGCCCTAGCAATGGCCTCTTATTCTTCTTCTACCCTCACTTTTAACAATTCATTTTTTTTAGAAGTCGGACAAGCTCAGGTATGACCGATGAATGTGTCATATCTAGATCATTAAATAAGGCTCTCAACTGATCTTTTTGCTCCATGAGACTTTGGATTTTCAGTTCTTGAAACTTCAAACATTCTTTCATTTCCAACTTCAATTGTTTATTTTCTTATTCCAATTGATCTTTCTTGGATTGGAGTTTCTCTTAGCTGTTTTCACTTTAAGCAAAGGATCTTGAAAATGGGTTTTAAGGAATGCCCTAATTGTTCACTAGAAAGCACAATGTCTTTTTCCCTCCCCGCATGCCACACATTATATTATAGGGTGACATCATAAGTAAACCTCCCTCGGTTAACCCTGGTGGTTTGCTTCCATGCTTTCTTGATCTTTTCAATCATTTCATATGCCTCTTTTATCAGTGAATAAGAACTCCCACTGGTTAAATCCATAGGTTTCTGGAATGAATTACTCACACCCGAATTATCTTCTCACCAAAGTTAGAGCATAAGTAACAGCACCCCATAGGCCTAATAAGAACACCCACGACTGATCTTCACAACTATATAACATTGCATCATGATGCATCCAAGGTGCTCTCCAAACTGTCTTTTGCTTATCAAAGGCTTGAAAATAAAAAACCTATTCTTTTTTTGACTTTGCTTGAGGCCATGTACTATAGCAGAACTCTTTGATGGGGATACTAAAATGAAGGTATGGTTTGCAAAACTAACTTTCTTTACATTTCATGTGACTTTTCATCCATACATAAAGCAACTGTAGGCACCCATTAAATTGCCCTTTACCATTTCTGCGATAAAAGTTTAGAGAACAAATGGTTTCTGCCAAAACGGTTGGTGCTACATTAACTTGGTATGCTAACTGATCCATAAAATCTATCACTGCAACATCAATATACCTGATGACTTTAAGGAAGATCACCAATCCATATAAAGCTACAGCCATAGCCACTAATCCCTGATCATCATCTATGTGCCCTTGGATGAAGTCTTGTAGAAAACTCCACGAAATAGCTTTACTTTCACCTTTTATCTTGACACATGTGTCGACTTGAGGCAAGCTAAGTCCAAGTATTTGCACTAAGTTTTTACGATAGCCCACCTTATTGGATCAGTAAATCTTGTTTGGGTTTGGTAGATCGAAGTGAAGTAGGACCATATACTCTTTAATTATAGGCACCATGTCTGTTTCATTGAAAATGAAACATTTATAAGAAGGATCCCAAAACTGAATGATGGCCCTAATTAAATTATTGTCCACTTTCACCTGAAACAGTGAGGCTATGTCTCCATATCTATTCTCAAATACCTCATGTCTTATTCTACTCATACATCTCCAAACACTGTTTAAGTTGGATAGATCATTTTGTAGTAGCTCGAGATGAACTCTTTCGGGTAATGAGAAAATAAAATTCTTAGGCAAGCAATCTCCTTGTTTTCTTTAACCTTTCTCTGACTTGATTTTCAATTTATAAGCAGACTCATAATGGATTGATGTAGACTTTGATTGCATTTGACTCTCCATGGATGTAAGTATGAGATCTGATTTATCAATAACTGATATGTGATAAATATTTCCTATATGAGAATGATGCAAATGATAGTGTTAAACATGATCATGAAAATGATGCATAGAATGAAATGATATGATAATACTAGAACATGAGAATGGAAATGATGCATAGAATGAAATGACATGGAGAAGGTATAGATGCACAAAATCAAGCAGACAAAATGGTTAGATAACAAACTATTCTTTCTTGTGTCCTAATTTAGGGTTATATCTATTGATAGATAGGAAGGGTTCTATCTTACGTTGGTTTCTTAGGGGTGAACTATATGCAGGGTTAGGCGATTTTAACCAGTAAAAGGTTTTCAAATTGTTCCTTATGTCATTGTCCATCACAAACTAGTAAGGCATTCCAATCTTCACTCATCACAGGCTACCAACGGAAAGGATTCAATTTGAGTAAGAGTATTTCTCTAGCCATTGCAGAGATTATCATCTCACGAGAGCGTAGGTACTTTACTCCTTCCTAAAAGGGATGAAGCTCGGGCATAGAGCTCATGTAATGCAAATGCACGTGATAGTGTGTGTGAAGGAACATATGGTTATCGACCCCATAAATCAAATAAGAAACAAAAATTGAAAAACGTTAGCAAACAAATAACTTAAGATCATTAGTTCAAAAGATAAGATAAATTCAAAAATTATGGCTTGACTCTCTAGTGTCCCTAGCGGAGTCATCAATCTGTCATAACATATAGATTCAAAAATCTATAGCTAGATTTATCAAATTAATGAAGTCGCCACCAATCTTTTTTACTAGGTGTGATTGGTCTCCTAAGGAATCTATCATTTTAAGGAACACCTAAGCTTAAGGGTCCCTAAAAGAATAGGTTCGGGTCTACTAACCATAATAGGTTCAGGAGTCGGGAGTCAGGAGTCGGGAGTCGGTTACATATGCGAAAGGTTATAACACCTCTACATGCCCATCTAAAAGATGGTACCATATTATTTCGAATTTATCCTAAGGTATTGAGTCTAATGGTTTCAAATTTTAAGTTAAATATTGAAAACAATTTTTAAGATTCTCCATCAATCTGGTAGAACTCTTTAAAAAAATATTTCCTCACCTCAAAAGTATTCAAAAATTTCATTTATTTCCTTGAAGAGGCTCCATCATCGAAAAAAGGTTTAATTATTATTAGTCGAAAATATATATAATTATTTCACCATTTGGGCAAAATTAAAAATATTTTTTCTGTTTGAATTTCTAAAATTTTTCACCGTTTGGGCCTATTTAAAAATTCTTTTTATTTTTTCTTTGGAAAGAAAATAATATGACAATTACTTTTATTGAAAATTTTCATCTAAATTATTCCACAATCTGTGCCAAATTTAGAGAAGATTTCACACCTAAAGATTTCTTAGAAATTTACCATTTGAAATTTCTAAGAATCTCATCCTTAGATAATTATCAAATATTTTCAATCCAAATTTTTATTTAGAGAAAAAAAATACAATTACTTATATTGAAATTTCATCTAAATCATTCCACCATTTGGGCCAAATTTAGAGGAAATTTCTCACCTAGAGATTTATTAAGAATTTACCATTTGAAATTTTTAAGAATCTCATTCTTGGATAATTTGTATTTAATTCCAAAATTTTTTATATTTTTATGCTTTTTATGTTTTTATTTTTTTTGCTTTGAAAATAAATATTAATTATTGTTATTGAAATTTTATCTAAATTATTCCACTATTTGGAATAAATTTAGACAAAATTTCTCACTGAGAATTTTATAGAAATTTACCATTTCAAATTTCTATAAATTTCATCATTGGATAATTAATATTTAATCTCAAATTTTTATTTTTTATTATTTTTTATCATTTTAATTTAATAATAAAAAAACTAAAAATAAATAAATAAATAAAATGCTTAAATAAAATAAATAAGAAAATACCAAAAAAATCTGAAACGGCTCGGCTCAAGACAAAAATCACCGCTCAAAATGCGGCTTAGGGCAATCGACTCGGCTCTGCTTGGATGGTTGGCTGGAATGCAAGTCAGCGAATCGGGTCGGGTTGAACCAAACAAAAATGCTCGGATCCTCTGGGATTTTTAACACCAAAATGATGTCATTTTAGCATAGTATAAAAGGCTCCAAACTTAGCCTTTCAGCAGATTACTTCATTCCCCTCTTTCTTTCCACTTCTTTTTTCTCCCCCTTCTCTTTAAACAAAACCCAGATTCCAATTAAAGTTCTGTCGGAATCTGAAAAACCCACCGAAAACTTCAAAGTTGATCGAAATACTCGTCAGAAAACTTAAATATCATCAAAAAATTTCATCGGATTCTAAAAAATTTTTAGAAATTTTCCAAAAAAAAAGGCCAAAAATTCTCCAAAAATTCCTAAAATTTTTAAATTGCTTTTAACCACTCATAGAATATTTCTAGACTCTGCCTTCTGTTTTTTTGCTTTCTGATTCGTCTCTCTTTTTGTGTCCTCTCTTGTATTTATAATCTGTGTGTATTTATAGGGATTCAATCTCAGAGCCCCTAACCAATCTAGATTCCCTTTCTAATTAGATTTCTACTCGTTGAATTTATCCAATACACAGTTTAATCTAACCATGATTCCCTGCTGCCCTTTTTTACGACAGAACTCCATTCTCATTTTAGTTATTATCTCTTAATTAATCAAGAAAAAAAAAGAAAAATAAAATAATAATAATAATAATAATAAACAAAAAAAAGAAAATAATAATAATGCTAATAATAATAATAAATAAAAATAAAATAAAATAAAAAATATGGATCTATCTTGCCCATTTGAATCAGGTCTAATTGATCCGAACCTGAACCAAATTAAGTATTTAGAGTGCCTAATCTAAAAATCAATATTTTACTTGTCAATGTTCTTCATTGAGTCATTTCCGATTAGTTTCTGAGTTGACTATAAAAAGAAATTTAATTTATTCCATATCAGTTAGTTCAGACTTCAATAAGAAATTGGAAAAATTAGTTGTGATGAAGGATGTTATCAAACTAAATAACTAGGCATAATTGGCCAGAATTTTTTTTTTTTTTTTAAAGAATGAAATTTGAATATTTTAGATTTGTAAAGTTATGGATTACCACCAAATTAACCGAATTTTAGATTATTTTCACGTTTGAGATTATCATAAATTAATTTTTATTATTAAAATTAAAAATTCAACGTTTTATCTATAAATGATATGATTATTAACGATTAAAACAATTAAAACATATAGTTTTTACCATGATCATTGGCATTGAAATACTTATACCAAAATCTTGGTTTGAAACAATGGTGAAGGAATAATGTTTTCAATACTCTGTTTCATTGACTAGAAAAAAATCACCAAACCAAACTTTTTTTTTTTCATTTAAAATATTTCTTTTAAAATAAAAACCTTTTTTCTTCATTTTTATTGAAAAAAATTCCCCTCACCAAACTTTCAGTCATGCAATTTGCACCCTCAATTCTAAATTGAGCAACCAATAACAATTTGCATCCTTTTTTGATAAAATTATAACTATAAGCGATATTATATTTATAATCAAATATTATATTTATATAAAAATTTATTGAATTAAATTATACAAATAAATCAACCAACAAATCAAAATATAAATTGAATAAATCTAACAATAAATTAAACCAAATCTATATATGATAAAATTTGAAATTAAAATCTCAAAATTTCATAATCTTTTCCTTGTTGCTAAAGCAAAACCGACAAATTTTGCATTCATAATTAGCATATTCCATAGTGCTAAAACAGAGTTGACAAATTGATAATAAGCTTAGGAGTCAGTGTAGACATTAATCGAGCTTAAGCTTTGACAATCCAATTGACAACTAAACTACAGCTTAGATTTATGATGTGATTTGGACCAAATATATACAAAAATTTGAGATAACCATTAAAACCCAAATTCCATACAAAACCTTGTCACATGCTCCTCCGAAATGTCATGTACTTTGTGGCTAAAACATATGGCACAAAAAAAAATTATAAAGAAAAACAATGACTCAAGTCTGCATGGTGTGCATATGATACTGCCATAATCATGACAGACTAACATGGCCTTTTCCATTCTTAACTAAGGCATTGGCCAAATTTGTTTCCCAGGAGTCTAACAATTGGGGAATTGTAAATAAGATATTCAAACGTTGCTGCTGTTATTTAGAGGTGACCATGAATCAAGCCAAGTTTGGTTGATATTTTAAATTTTTATTTAAAATTTGACTTGATTTCACCCAAATATGCTTTACATTATTCAAAAAAAAAATTAAATATTATTTTTATAATAATATATTAATATTTTTAAATATATATTAAAATTAAAATTTATTAATTAAATAATATTTCGAGTCAAATCCAAATTTAAAAAACCTTATTCCTTTGGATTAAGTTGTATCAATCCAATGGTCTCACTAGTACAAAGCTCTACTTATCATGTTTTGCTCGATGAGAATGTTCAAATCAAAGATGATATTTTAGATAGAAAATCCAGACAATTTAGGCCTTATCGCCTAAAATAAACCTATCATATTCATGAGGTAGACCAAGCCATATTTGATTTTCATCTTTAAATGTCAATCACCAGCTAAACTTGTCCATTAGATCAAATTATTTTAATAATAGTATTTGTAACATTAAAAAATATTTGCATATTAATTCTTTGACATTTAAAATATATTTTTAAATTAATAATAAAATTTTTTTATTAATTAAATAATATCTCAAATCATACTAAACCGAATCAAATTCAAATTTAAAAATTTTTATAAAAATCTAATCGAAGCTAGACATGTGGGCTAACAGACTTCTAGACCCATGGACAAATCTAATGTCAAATAATTTTAACATAAAAAGAACCACAAAGCAAAATTTAATTTCTTAAACTTGTTAAATCAAATGGAATAGAACAAAATTCTCTCTAGTTCTACTTCTCATCCATATAGCATACAAGCCACTAAAATGAAAATGAAAAAGGAAGACAATGACATCTCTAATTAATTCATACAAGTTTCATTCTTGGTTTTATACATAATGGAAAAGGTTTATATAGTTCTCTAATTTTTTGGTCACTCAAATTCTCAGGAGGGCCAAAAACAGCAATCAGCCGGTAACATATACGCATTATAGCAAGGGCAACAGCAGAAAGGACTTACCCATCAAGGCCTACATTTTTTATAGATGGAAAATCTCTAACCAAGCAAACTTTTCCAGGATGACCACAAGGGTAAGTTTCATTTGGCTTATATTGAGACCCCAAGGAGAGTTTGTATGTGTAATGGCTAATGGTAATGCATTTGATCCATGATATGAAAGGAGCTACATGTTGAATCAGAATAGCTGCTGATTTTTGGTCCGTTACCAAGGCACCAAGGGCTAGTCCTAGGCCTTGAGAGACAAGGACAGAACAGAAGTGCAAATAAGGTGTGCAGGAAATTTCCTGCTGTGGGTTTAAGTCCTGCCACCCTATATGTTATTGTAATAAAAGAAGTAGGGAGATCAGCAATGGTTCTTGACATGAAGTATGAGGAAAGCCTGTACATGCCAGAAGACGGTTCTTTTACGAGCATCATACGTTTCTGGGGGAAGGTGAAAATTGCTTGGAATAGAGGGAACAAGCACCAAAATCCCAAAGACAAGAAGAGGAGTTGAATCTGCATGTTTCAAATTAACAAGATCAAAGCCATCCAATGTTTATTATCAATACATTCATATAAATCTTCTGATTTCAATGTCGCTTATATAGTTTGCGTAATCATTTAAAGGAAAGCAAGCTGAATTTTAATGGATCCAAAGTGATTGGGACCTGGTCCTGCAAGTGAGTAATATCAGATTGCCACCATAATAATCCTAAAAGGACAGCTATCTCCAGGACCTCAGCAATGTTGAAGCTAGAGATTGATTAATGTTTCCTTCCCTTTACTCCCCTTTGAAACAATACAGCGAACTGTTGCCACCAAGTTGTAGCCCAACTTGCAAACTTCTTGTTTCCCAATTGATCATGCTGACTTCCTGAAGCTCAACCTTTAGTTTCTCAGCAATGTTGCTCTTGTAGGCAGAAATTAGTGTTTACTTCACCAGGGTTTGCTCCTTTAGTGACTCATTTGATGGAACATCTACATTGTGGAAAAAAAATATCAAAGCAATGATAACGAATTGCAAAAGAAAATTCAATTTGCTGATCTTTACTTAAAGTAATTAATAAACTTATTCATATAGCCAACAGCCATGTAATCCTTTGGTGGAATGCTACACAATTACTTCCAATGACCAGGTTTAATTCCTGACAGCCTAAGTATAAAAAAAATTAGCTTATTCATCTAACTAGTACTCATAATAGTAGCTTGTTAGATGAAATTGAGTGCTTATGTATATTTGAGTAAGAATTTAAAGGAAGGAGATGCATTTTTTTAATATTCTACAAATTTGTCTGATATTATTTGTGATTTTTTCTATGTATCATCATTCCATAATTTCGTAATTATGATGATTTACTCTGTATGAATAGATATATTAGTGAACAAAGAGTTAATTTCTTGCACGGATTGAAGCAACATAGAAGAAAGTGAATCTTAAATCTGATAGGCAACTGACTTAAACAGCCCTTGGGATTAGATAGCAGAATCTGTGTTGCTGATATATCACAAAAAGTATCAGAGTCAATAAGGAAAAGCATTATATGGAGTTTTTATATGGACTGGTATGGAAAGTTTTTATGCTGCTCCAAGGGGCACGGGGAATATTGTTGATTACAATTCGAAAAGATACAATAATATGACCATATATGTAACAGAGAACAGTAAATGTAACACCTCACTATGAGTTTATGTCTCAACTTATATATAATAGTAGATCTTTAAATATCCCGATATTAGATTGAGGCGCTATAGTAAGTCGGAGTTACATGTTCATTTAAATTTTGCAATTACTGTATATATATTTATATTTGTCATCTTTTTATATAATGAAACTAATTGTAGATAGGAATTTGCAGCCTGTGAATCAATTTCCAAAGCTCCAAAACCATGCAACTGAGTACAGCCTTGGAAGTGGTAGCCATATCAATGGTTAAGAAACTTTTATAGTTAGAATTTAAGCAAGTAATGTTCCAGGTCAATTGATGCCTTCAAGAAATTATAAGAACTCTGTTGTGTTCTGTAACTTGACAACTGCTTCTTGATCATCATTTGGATTTGTTCTATAATCAGATAACTGACTCTCTCACAGGATATTCTCCAACACCATTGATTACTCCTGTTTATCCAGGGCAATATAATTTTCTGCATGATTTTGGCCAAAAAAATAAGGTAAGTGAATTTGCTTTGATTCCCAAATAAAAATTTGAATCCTGATCACCATTTTTTATAATATGATCAGAGTCCTCTGAGGCTTTTCTTGGATTTAATTTTTTTTCGGACGATTTTAACGGTACACTCGCCGATATCATCTTGGCACATTCAGAATTTTACTCTGAAGTGAATCCTGATTACTTAAATATACTACTGACAAGCAACAATTTAGCTCAAAAAAAAAAAAAAAACAGCAACAGCAGCTGTAATTTAACTTGAGACTGTTCCAATTTTGAAAGGAAGGATTCTAATGTACGTGGATAATTTATAAGGAGCATGATGGACAACTTTGAATGGACTCCATAGTGTTCTGCTAAATGATATAAGGGTTTTCTCTATGATGGCAAATCGGGTTCTACACGATTCCCCAACAGCAAAAATACATTGATTTAGAAATTAGACCAAAAGCTAAAGCAATTGCAAAACTATTCATCTTTATTTCAAAGTGAAATATTTTTTACACTTTTACACAATTAATGATTAATTGTGTTATAACTTAATATATTGATTTTTTTATAATTAAAATGATCAGTTATTAAATTTTAATTATTAAAATTAAAAATTTAACATTATAACAATAAACAAGTATTTAATATTTTTTTATTTTTATTAAATTCATATATAATTTTTATTAAAATTTTAAAATCATATTATTTTTTATCTTTTATATCATTTTCATGTCATATCCTCGTATCATATTTAAAATTATTATATTTATTTGTATATTGAGGTAATGCAATTTCTTTATTTGAAAAAATAATCAAACTCTACTTTTCGAGTAAAGAATTATGAAAAATTGTTTGCATCAAAACACGTGAGTATTATTTATTCTGCAGGAGTAAATATAACAATTGTATATTCGATTCCGTATCCCACCAAATCTCATATAGGCGTGGATGCGTTTACTTTTTTGTTGTTACGACAATGCCTATGAAAATGAAAAACTAGTTGTCTGAAAAAAACATGTTTAACATATTTTAACTCTATCTTGTCTGTCACGTCATAGATTAAAAATTCATTACATTTTTTAAATTTACATTTTCCTCCCTCACAAGTTTTAAAAAATACTGCATAAAAGGACAAATGTGTTGAAATTCTGTTCAATCACTGCTGAAAAGGATTGGCATAGAAAAAATTAATGAAATTGAGTAATTATAATAATGTTTGGCTTAATTTGTGTATATATATATATATATATATTTCATTACAAATATAGTTAGTGTATATTTAGTAAGCTTGATAATTTTAAATATAATATAATGATATGATATAAAAATTATATAAAAATAATAAAATATAAAATTGATAAAATCAATATATTATTTTGATAAAAAAATATATTTCGTATTTAATATATCAATATAAATTATAATATTAAAATTTTTATGTTTTATATAACACGTGTAACATAAATATATAAATTATAAAATTTAAAATTATTTTTAGTAATAGTCCCTTTTTTATAGGTCTTCACCTATCTTTTTATCATCTAATTTGATCAAGACCTCAGTTCCTACCCCTATCAAATAAAAAACAGCATAAGATAATTGGGTTTTTTCAATTGTACAAAGTTAGTGCAGTTCCAAATTAAAAATGTAAAAAATGGAGCTGTCTACCACCATGAATTTATTGTTAACAACTTGTGCATGCAGGGACCAGCCCCGGTTGTCTATCAATAGTTGACATTTTTTTATTCAAGCTTTTTATTGTTATTGATCTTTATTACCATTCCTAACTTAGCTAGATTTTGCATTTTTTTTTTTTTTTTGCCTCACTAAGATGCCTTTTAATACCAACATTCAGCTCTCCTTCTTGTTTTTCTTTGTTGTAAATCTACTTTTTTCTTCAAGTTCTAATGCTCAAGATTTTGACAAAGCAATCCAAGATGTCAGAAGATTCCAATTCCCATATAATTTTCTCTTTGGCACAGCTGTATCTTCATATCAGGCATGCAAGCTTTTCTTTCTTTGTTGAAATAATAGTTTGTTTCTCTGTTGATTCCTTTGTTTTTCACATCTGGTTTTCATTTTATAGGTTGAAGGAGGATATCTTGATGATGGTAAAAGCCTCAGCAACTGGGATTTTTTCAGTCATATCCCAGGTAAACAGGCATTGCTGATTGCAGCAGAGCAGATTAATATTTTATTTCCTAGTTAAACTTATTGTATCCCTTAACTTTTTCAGGAAACATTAAAAATAATGAGAATGGAGATGTTGCAGATGATGATTACCATCTGTTCTTGGTATTTTGCTTCTTTTAAGTTCATTTTTTTTCTTGCTCTCAACCTATAGAAATAAGAAGAAAAAAGTATGAATGTTGCTTTGTTTGTGTACGATATACCAGGAAGATATTGTGATTGCTCATTCTCTTGGTGTAAAAGCATATCGGTTTTCGATTTCATGGGCCAGAATTCTACCAAGTATGTCTTTGAAAGCCAGAATTTTACTTGATTGTATGTAGATTATAACACTTTTGAGATCCTTCAATGCTGGAACAGGAGGAAGGTTTGGTGAAGTCAATCCAAGTGGGATCAAGTTCTATAACAAAATTATAGACAGCCTCTTGCTCAAGGGTAAGAGGTTCAGAAACTTGGGGAAGAAAAATTTTTCTGGAAAATTGTTTCTTGAAAATGATATAATTGACTAAACAAATGCCTGAAAGCAGGAATTGAACCATTTGTGACAATACACCATTTTGATCACCCACAAGAACTGGAAGATAGATATGGGTCTTGGCTCAGTCCTCTGATGCAGTAATTTCTCCATCTCTTTTGTGGTTTTACCGAAGCAGTATGTTGTTAAGTTGCCTAATTTCAGTGCCTTTCTAGGGAGGATTTTGTTCTTTTGGCTGAAACTTGTTTCAAGAGCTTTGGTGATAGAGTCAAGTACTGGACAACTATCAACGAGGTAAATCAGTTTGCAGAAATGGCCTATGTTAGGGGAGTTTTTCCACCAGCTCATTGTTCCGCGCCTTTCGGAAATTGTTCTGTTGGCAATTCTGATGTAGAGCCTTTTATCGTTGTGCACAACATGTTATTGTCACATGCCAAGGCCGTTAAGCTATACCGAGAACAATTTCAGGTTACACAATGAGATTCTTAAAATATTTTCTAGCTTGAACTTTGCTTGATGATATTTTTCTTACCCAAATTTGATGCTGCTGTAGCCAAAACAAGGTGGCTCTATAGGGTTAATTGCACATTCACATATGTATGAACCACTAAGAGATGGAGAATCTGATCGTCTAGCTGTAAATAGGGCTCTGGCTTTTACCCTTGGCTGGTAAGTGATCTCAATCAAAGCACCAAACTGCTTTTGTTTTCTTTCTTTTAAAATTTATTAATACTAGATGGAAAACCTATAGGAGGTAGCATTAAGTAGGTTATCCCAGCACCTGCAATCACTTCCCCTATTCCCAGGCTACGGCCTCCTTTGATAACTGCATTATATTCTGTTTCCTCTGAATTTACTGAATATTTAAGCAGCAAAGACATGCCCAATGACAGAACTTGAGATTGGTTTGGATCTTATTTGATGATGGACCTGATAAAACTATACAAGTTAGATGCTCTTTATTTTTCAAGGACCACTTGATCTGCAACATTGCCTTGTCATACCTTTCTGCATCTCTGTCAAGACTTTAAAAAAATTCAAAGTAACAACCAATTGAGTCACAATGATTATAACACTCTTTTGAAACACAGTCCAAAATTAATGTTATTATTAATTGTTGGCAGGGCTGATGGAATATAACATACACAATCTTTGTGAACCGAAGCAAACCAGTCCAATCCAATTGACTTGAAGGACACGCTATTTTTACATAGGAGGCCGTAGTCTAGGAATAATTGAAGGAATTACAGGTGCTGGGATTAGAACTCCAAACCTGTTAGATGCCACCTCTTAAGGGTGGTTGTATAAACTAAGTTAAGCTCCGGTTTAACTTTAAATACACATTTGCTATATGTAATTACTAAAATAACAAATCTTGAACCCTTTTGAGAGTACAAGAGTCACATGCGAATGAAGATATGTAAAAGAAAAAGATTAAAAAGTTATGACCTCCCCATCTGATCAGTTAATGACAACGGTAACTGAAGCAATTACCTTGTCCTATGATCTCAAGGGACAAAGAGGCTGTCTATTCTAGAACTGTTTTAAGTTGCATATGTTTTTTACCTCTAAGCAGCAACATTACAGTAAAGATATGCTCCTCAACATAACATGAATAAGTTACCATAATGCAGGGCAATAGATCCTTTAGTGTTTGGAGATTACCCACCAGAAATGCGCCAATACCACGTAAGTGAACTGCCAAGGTTTTCCCCAGAAGAAACTCAGATTGTGAAAGACAGTATTGATTTTATTGGCCTCAATCATTATTCAACATTATATGCCAAGGACTGCATCCATTCTCCTTGCATCCCAGGTGGAGATCATTTCATCAGAGGGTTTGCATACACAACTGGAGAAAGAGATGGCATTCTAATTGGAGAACCAGTAATTCCTTCTCTTGCTGTTGCTCTTGTTTCCACTTTTATCAGTTTATAATTACAAGTTCACTTTGCTGTTTTTTTTGGCAGACTGGTGTTGAAAGATTTTATGTTGTTCCAAGGGGCATTGAGAAGATTGTTAATTATATTTCAAAAAGATACAATAACATGCCCATATATGTAACAGAAAATGGTAACTTGCGGAGCTTTATTTTTGTCCCTTTACATAAATTTATGTCATTTTTTTATCTGTGAGTCCATTTTTCAAGCTTCAAATCCATGCAACTGAGTGCAGCCTTGGTTGCAATGGGCATATCAGTCACGTAGAAACTGATAGCTAGAATTTGAAACAGTAAAAGTAATGTTGCAGGTCAAATGCCGCCTAAATAAATTTATATGGATTCTGTTCCGTAACTTAATAACTGCTTCTTGATCATCATTTGGATTCTGTTCCATAATCCGAAAACTTACTCTCACAGGATATTCTCCACCACATACTGAACAAGTGCCAGATTTGCTGCATGATGTCAACCGAATCAAGTTCCATGAGGGCTACCTTGCTGCTTTGGCCAGAGCAATTAAGTAACTGAGTTTATATTCTTTACCTTACGTATACTTTGTTTTGCTTCTCTATTCTTGAACAAAAATTTTAACCCTGATTACTTGAGTAGCTATTTATAAGCAACAAATTTCTCCAACTCATAGGTGTAATGCCCCAATCCCACGATGAGATATTACAAGAATCTGATATATAAAAAAACTTAAATTCCTACTTGTGAAATCCGAACAAAACCGAAAAATTTTTAGGTCAAAATAAACATGGAGCAATTCTACTTTGGTGCATTCAACAATTAGTATCATAGCCCTATTTCTGTCGCAGGACCTGTGAGTTATGGGCCCGCTACGCTTCTGCACATTAGAAATTACCTAGCAGCTCTATTGACCTAAGACTGGGTTCTTATTTTGATAGGAATGGTGCTGATGTACGCGGATACTTTGTATGGAGCTTGATGGATAACTTTGAATGGACAGGAGGTTATGGCACAACATTTGGACTTTACTACATTGATCGTCAAACTCTGAAGAGGACTCCAAAGATTTCTGCTAAATGGTATGAAGATTTTATTGCAAACAGAAGCAAAGGAAGCAACAGAGAAGGGTTCAAGAATGGAAAAGAGGGTTCTAAACGTTTTCCCAAAAGCAAAACTGTCATAATTTCCAGAGCTGAAGCTAAAGCAACCGAAATATGATGATGATATCTACATTTCACCATCCATATGCATTGATTTTATCCTTCTATTGTCAACTATTGAACTGAAATATGTTGATACAGTACATGATGGGGTACACAAAATTGATTTATATACGTCCTACATCATTTACATGCAACATGATTTCAAAAACTTAAGGATATGGATCTCGGCTCTCATTTCTGTTCTTATACAGTTTTGCATCATTGGAAAAACAATTGAAGCCTTTCCAAATTTTAGACTTCCCTGTCTAAAGGAGATTTTGTTTTCTTATGTCAAATTCAAAATTTATACATTCTCAAACCCTTTTCTTTTGTGGTTTGATTAATAAAGTGGGAAATTGTTAAATTGTGTGGAACCTAACCGACGTTGATTGTCCTAATTATGTTTATATTTAAAGGGATATCAGTTTAAGGGTTTTTTATTGCATTTGTAATCTCTCTTTTTTTCATAGTGAAAAATTCTGCAGTGGCTCCAAGGTGAACTGAACTCTCACATTGATGGTGAACTATTATATATCTGCGTGTTCAATTTTTGTTTTTGCACTTGTTTTATTATCGTTTTCTAAAAGTAAGGCTTTAAACCTATCAGTCATCTTGTTAAGTTGAAGGGAAGATCATCTCCGTTGTGCTGAAATTTGTTTAAAGAGCTTTGGGTGATAAAATTGAGCACTGCATGACTTTTAATGAGCCAAATATGTTATGCAGTTAATCCACCATAGTTGGCAACTTTTATAATAGACCCTCAATCACTCTGCAGAAGATGTTACTGTCCCATGGAAATTTCATTCAACAAAAGGTACAAAACTAATGCTGGTGCAGCCAAAACTTGGTGGTTGTCTAGGAAAAAATTGCAGTATCCATTTTTCCTCTTTTTTAAGTTAGACTGCAATATTGACATCCACTTGTTCTATACAAGTGACTAGCTAGGCTAAGTTTCAAGTTTGGAAAAAATGTCAAGAAAATGGGTTGTTATGGGTTCATATTGGCAGTTCCTACTAGAAAAATTGACCAGGTAAATTAAAACCTTTAGCTTTCCATCTTCAATTACCAGTGATATGAAACGGTGCCTTGTTTGACCCTCCAAGATCTCTATCAAATCCTCAGGAATACCAAAGAGGGAAATGCTAATCACAATTCTCTGAACATTCATTGGAACCCGTCAAACGGTAGTATTAACATTGATTGTTGGTGGGGTTGATATAATAAAAAATTATAGTAATAGAAGCAGTTCATATGACAGATTTTCAATTGGCTTAAAGCAAAGCATTTTCTTTATAGTATATGATTAATGTAATCAAAAAATTGTACAATCTTGCAAATCTTTTATTCATATCTATTCATATCCCACATGCAAATAACCTTTTTTTAACTTGTGAGAATATAAGGCCAAGATTCAAAGATTTTACTATTAATTATATATATATATAGCATTTCTTGGCATCTTGATTGTTACTATTAATTATACAGTCAAAGTAGCTTGAACCACCTATGATTTTGGCTCAAAACAATCAATTTAGAATTAATTTTAGAATAAATCCTATGCGTAATCTAATTAATTTTTATAACCATTTTAAAAAGTGACATCCAACAATTTTAAATTTTAAATTTTAACATTTGTGATCCCTTCCCTTGTATCAATTTCTTATATAAAAAAAAAGTTTAATTTTTTAGTATCCTAAAGTTTATTCATAAAGTTTGATTTGGCTAGAAGAACTCACAATTTTACAATATTTTCTATCAACTCATATGTTACAGAATACTTTTTCAAGATAAAAAACCTTTATAAATTTTGGCAGGAGCAACCCAACAAATTTTAAAGCTACAACAAAAGCAAAATTTTGGTGGGGTTCCATAAACCTAATTAACACTGTAAACTCGATCCATGTTCCACCAAAATTTACTGCAACTGCACTTCAGTATTAAAGCCTTGAGAAAACGATTTTCAGATTCAGATCCTAAGAATCTAAACAATCTTCATCGTCTCACCCTCTCACACCTCACCTACCAATTTTCATTTCAAGACTAGTAGTCAAGAATGTTGGGTTGATATACTTGACAGTTGCACATGTACATATTTCAAAAACATGCTACACTCTTGACAAAACTTTGAATCATCAAAATGTAAGTCCTCAAACCAAGTAATAAACGAGAGAATGAGCTAAAACACTAATCAGTAGTTCTGGGAATTGCTTAGAGAGCCAAATAGTTGACAGGAATGAGCTTGGGAGCTGAAATAATGATGGCAGTAGTGGGGTTGTCGGCAGTGCTTTTGAGGCCATTGATGTAAGGTATCCAGCGGAGATGATTGAAGTGATGGGGTACGTGCTTCACCGGATTCTGACAGGGTGACCTTCCGTTTTCTCTACTTATCTTCCTTACTCCGACGCTGGCTCGTTTCTTTATTGGTACTAATAACAAAGGTTCATTATCTACAAGTTATTCATCTCAGGTTAGTTTCAGGTTCAAATAGAAATGAAGATAGGGCAAAATAAGAGAAACCCTTTTCTCATTTTTGTTTTTTTTCAAGAAGTTACCTCTACGGCAAATAATTTTATACAAAGAAATGCGTAATTGTATAAATCAACTTAGTTAAATTATTGAAATTTGGGGTACATACAGTTGACAAATTGTTAGATTTTAGCTCTTTAAATTTCTTTTTCCAAATCTCAATTCCAAACCTAATCATCTTTAGTTTTCTTTAACTTTTGTATATTATTTCTCTAATGGCGGCTGTGGAAGTAATGCTGAGAATGGTGAAATTTGCAAAGCTCAAATTGCGCGAATGTTGCTTCATCATAGAGCTGGTCAACTTAGGGTTTTTATTCTTTTCTTGCTTTTTCCTTTTCCTTTAATGGTTGGCTTGAATCAAAATTTCAGTCAAGCCTGGAAAGGGTTCAAATCTACACTTGATTCTTCCTTCAAATTTTTAAAATGAGTGGCAGTTTTATTAAATTTTGGGAGTTTTTTTTTTTTTGAATAATTTAATTATTTTATGTTCAGCTCATGTTACTAGTTCTAATAATAAACACAAAGAAAACGACGATTTAGCCTAATTGAATTAATTTAATACCCTAATTGACCGATGTTCTTCTTTTAAAAAAGAAAAATACCATGAAATAGACAAATTAAAATATAGTACTTGAGACTTTATTTCATTTTTTTAATTAAAACGATTAAAATTTTAAATTTGATTATTGAAATTAAAAGTCTATTTCATTTGCAAGCCTATTAATTTAAAGCAATATGGAATAAATATCACCTAAATATTGCAGCCATCAAAATCAAATACCAATTCAATATTTATAAATTGTAATGCCAAAACCCAATCATACATGAAGGGATGTGATGTTACATGTTTAATTAATTATACTAAATCAAGTTAGAGTCATTAATTACTAAGTCATGAAAAATTGATGATAGGGCTAATGTTGGTTAGATTAATTAATTTTCAAAGGGTAAATTATGTCAATTTATGAAATCAAGTTTAAAGAGCAATTTCACATATCCTTTTCATAGTCCAAAAAAATTCTTGTTAATTTATATTCCTGTCTTCTAATTTTTTGATAAGGCAATTTTCAATTCATAATCATATATGATAGTGAAATTGAAAACAAAATGGAGCCACTTAATTAATAATGTGCTAAGACTTAGAATAGCCATGAAACTAATCTTTTACTTTTTTTTTTTTAACATCAAATTCTGTTTCTCTAATCATCAATTAATAAAATAAAAACCTAAATAGATATGAACATCATTAAGTTGAATCTTATTACAAACGATTGTACAAATGAACCAAAGATTTAAAACTATACGTATATTTCTTTTTCTTGTTTCAGATACAAAGTGTACAAGTAAAACAAGATGAACAAAGGACAGAATCATTGGGCTTATTAACACGAATTGAATAATGCAAATGAAAACATAGAAAATGTGATGAAGAAATATTAACATTCTTGGATGGCATCACCATAACTTTGAGCCTGATCAAAGAGTCATTAGAGTATTCTTCAATCCAATCTCTTAAACATCTGCTCCTCACTTTCCATCTCAATCAAGCTTTCGATCACAATTTCTGAAGCACTTGTCACCACATCCGACCAATTTCTAAATAACATTGAAAAAATCTAAGTAAAAAGATTTCCACAAATTTATGAAATTAGCCAAAGAATTAAGATGATAGCTAATAAAAGACCGATTCATCTTACCCTTTTAAAGAGTCGAACGTAAGCCCTACGGTATATTTTGCTTGCTCAAGAGCTAATTTGAACCTTTGGAAATCCTTCGCTGGAACTTTATTGTTCTCAACACGAAGTTGTGAAGGTTTAATGTCGCAAAAGATGGGAATGACCTTCTTCTTAGACTCCATAATAAGAGCTAATTCATGAAGGCAGAAGTAGGACTGGCAATAATTTGGTGAGAAAACAGTAACACCAACCTTACAATTCCTTATCGCGTTATCGATGTTGTCGAACAACTTATCTCCTGGTTTCATATTCTTGTTGTCCAAGAAAGGTTGTAGGTTTAGTCGTGAAAGGTGATCGTAGAGTAAGGTTGCTATAGTTCTCTTGGTGTCAATGCCTCTATGATTAATGAAAACATCAAAAGCTTTATTTGTCATGAAACGAATTGCCATCTTACTTGGTGATGTTTGGCGAGCACGAAAGTTTCGATGGAAGTTCATCATGGCTGCTGGCATATGCATGGTTTCGATCAAGAAAGAAAATAAAGGAAAACCCTAATTATATTTTTCTCTATCAAATTTTTTTTTTTCCTGTGGCTTGTGTCTCAAGATTGCTGGTTGCTAATGGTATATATAGAAGTCTCTAATTGAATGATTTGGCCTAAAAGTTCATTCTAAATGTTGGATTTAGAATATTTGCTTACAAGCATTTTTACTTCTATAGTTGAATTGAAGGAAAGAAAGTATGAAAGATTGAACAATTTAGCGACGACGTGTAATTGATTTTGACAACGGGAAGGAAAGGAAACAAAAACCTTGACCAATTCTATGCCTTTCGAAAATTTTCATTGTCCCTTCAAACAAGTTACATTGAAACCTCTCTTTCTTTTTCTTTCTCTTTTTCTTTTATATTTTATGGGAAAAATAATTTTGACTACAAACATTTTACATTTTTACCATATTACGAAAATAAATAAATAAATATGAAAAATTATTTGATCCATTATCAATGGAATTTTTAGATTTTATAAACAAAATTAACAAGATAACATATATTCCTTAGACTATATTAAAAAAATAAAAAAAAATAATTAAAAAATGAAACATTTGTTAATTTTTTAATACTGTTTATGAAATTAAAAAAAATTACTGAATGCCTATAAAAACGAAATTTAAAAGTTATATGCCTAGGAAGAGAAGCAAAGGACAGTCATGAAAAGCACATGTTAAAGTTGGTGCTTGGGTACTTTGACTGTTTGATCAAACAAAGATACCATGAAACTAAAAAAAAAAAAAAAAACGAAACTTTCTTAGTCTTTCACCCCATTGAAGGAATTTCTCAGTAGCAAAATGGCAACTTCTCTCTCACTGTTTCAAGATTTGGGTTTTGACTTGCACCGACAAAGCTGAGAAAATAACTAATTTTTCAAAATGAAGGAAAATGGAAGGAAAGAAACTGTGGAAGAATGGTATTTTCCTAATTTATTGGATAGGAAAACATTATGCTACCCCTTCATTCCACAGCAATTTTTTTGTTATTAAATTGTAAGTCTATGTAAATAAATATTTCAAATTTAATTATATGTATGTCATATTTTAAGTATTTGTTGACCTAAGAACATACCACTAATAAAACAATATGGGTTTAATTTGGATACTTATAAACATCCAATTAATGGTTTTACATGTTTAATCTCAATATAATATTTAAACATTTGACTTAATGGTAAGAGCATGTCATATTTCTATGCCTTATTGAAAGAGTTAAGTTAAAATTTTTATTTTCAAAAATTATATTTAATCAAAAAAATAAAACAAAAAATTTAATTTTTTTTCATTCTTTGTTTTTCCCACTCCATTTTTCCCTTCATTTTCTTTCCTCCCACACCAACCAAACTAAGTTAATTAATTAATTTTCCATAGCAACCTATTCAAAACTAAATAAATCAATTGCTGAATTTTTTTTATATATAATACAATTAAAAATGTCTTCAAATTTTATCTTAATCTATTGTTTTCAGACGATTTTAAGTACACACTTTTTCACATTGGCTTCTTACATTCAAGATTTCACACTTTAAATATTTCCCTAAAAAATCAAACCCTAATTGACTAGAAAAGATAAGTCCTAATTGTTAATTTTCCATTCAAATTAATATATTGATCTTGGAGTTTCTTGTACAGCTATATTTGGATCATGCGTAACACATTGGTCTTACATGTGAGAGAAGGCATATGTTAGTAAATTTCTTTTATTCCCAATAAAAAAATAAAGCGGCTAAGTAGTAAGTACTTCTATATATATTCTATCAATTTTATAAGGTTTTGAGTCAAACGATCCTCTTAATTAAATAAATCTTATACTTTTACCATTGATACGAGGCTCAAAGCTAGAAACTTGTAAATTGGGGTCAAAAAATGCTTAAATATTAAGCTTGTCTTATCAATTTTTTTATTAATTTTATCAACGAAATCTTAATAGATTCATTATATCGTATGACAACTTTTATTAAATGAATATTTTGTAGTAAAATGGGGTAGAATTTGTTAGTTGAAATTCGTTGAAGTTTTTTATTTAGAATTATTAAATAAAAATTAAAATTGAAAATAAGATACTTAAGATGTGTTTGATATACAAGATAATGATAGAATATGATAAGATGATATTATAAATAAGATTAAATTAAATAATATCATCTTATCTTATATTTGATGTTTGCAAGGATTATGATAAAATAATTTATTTATTTATTTGTTTATTGGTCAAAATTATCATTACTCAAAGTTTATAAAATTTAAATTATTGATATAATTTTTAAGGGTATAATAGAACATATAAATTCAATATTATGGATTAAAAATAATCAAATCTATTTTAAAAGAAATTGAATTATCCTATATCAAGAAGATGATTAATCTTCTTTGTAACATTTTTTAGATATAAACCAAACATAATATAAGATGATTACTATTATATGTTATCCATCATCCTATACTCCAAACATAATTTTAATTTGATAGAATTATATAGGTCAAATGTGACAAAAAAAAAAAAAGACCTTTAGTGTGGATTCAATTGGTCATGTTTTCACATTTAAGGTAAAGTTTATCATATGATTAGGGTTCAAATTCTAAAACGTATAATCTTTTCCTTATTATTTTCATATTACAATCTCTCTTTGTACCATAAACATATCAAAAAAATGAAATAAGAATAAATTTTAATATGCTATTCGAATTAACAAGTATTTTGGTTAAAACTTATAACACAATTTTCATCGTTCAACAACCATTGATTGAATTTGGAATATTTTGTTTACTCTTTACATATTATTGATCTATACATCGAACATTCTATCAATATATATAGTGATTTTGTTATTTCTGTTCTAATTTTATAACTTTTTATAATTAACGAGAAAATTTGCAAATTTTATACAAATAAATATTCTTAACGTATAACAAATTTGCATTCCTAAGTTTTCTAACACACATAAATAAAGATATATTTATATATAATTGTATTTCTTTTGACTCCATTATTCATTCTCCTTATACGGTCTCTAACTCCTTAAATTTTTTCTATAAAACCTAAAAACTTATTTTTCATTGGTTTAATTTGCATTCTTTTCTTAAATATTGTTATAACAAAAACAACTACTTTAGACATTGTAGCTAGAGTTTTTAGATTTTATTTGCAGAGTTAGAATAATATCACATAACTTGTTATGTATCAATTGATTTATTAATTATTTTAAATATAAATTAGAGAGTATGTGATAATTCTTTACTTCCATTGATGAAGTTTAAAAACTTCATTTGCAGTATATGAGATTTTACACTACTAATAAAAATAGAATTGGACGTTGTTTAAAAAAAAATAGAATCCGACGTATTTAATTTATTTTATTTATGTAATTATCCTTAAAAAATAATATCAAATAAGTTTGAAATTAAAATCTTGACACCTATATTTTCTTCTCTTATCCTTAAATTACTTTGAAAAAAAAACTACAAGAATTCAAATCTAAGGAGCAAATAAATGAGATTTCAACAATTTTATTTCTCCAAGGAAATAACTAGGAAGATTGTGGTATTTGCGACATACAAATGACCTACCTTTGGCTATTTCCTTGACATTTAACATTGGATCAAGACTCGTGCAAACTTAAAGCTTCTTTCAAGCAATAAGAAAGGCCGATATACAAACATGTTGGCCAAAGACATCAGATTCAAAACCAACATAAATGCTATGAAAAACCACCTAAAAGAGTCAGCATTCTGTTCTTAACAACGTGTTGAATTTTAATGTTATATATGCTTTGGTATTTATATAAACCAATTGGTCATAATAGTATTTGATAATTCTATTTTCAAGTTTCAACTGTTGTTTCTGCGATTGCTCTTTTGACGAGCGTTTTTATTTATTTATTTTTTTCGTAATTGAGAGTATTAAAAATTGAATTTGATCATTGAAATTAAAAATTTATAAATGCTTTTATTTTTATTGTTTTATTATTCTCTTATTTAGTCTCGATGAGATTACATAAAGAAAGAGAAATTCTGATCACAATCAAATTTATTGAAATAAAATAAGAAAAAAATGTAACATAAAATTCGACTAACCTTATAAATGATGATGAGACTTGAATCTACTATTTTGAAGTTCCAAAACCATTTTTAATCCAAACCTACTTCCTCTTTAACATTAAATCAAGGCTTCAATGGCGGTTGAAAATGTTTTTTATTGAACTAGTTTGAGAAATATAATTAATTTGCACAATGTTCTGAAACATTTCTGGCATCAAGTTGTAAAACTAGTTGCAGAAAATTAAGAAATATTGGTCCATTTTTTCCTGGTTGCAGTCTTCACCGGAGTAGAGTTAACTATGATAAAGGGAAAAGAAAGGGTAAATGAACAGCTAGTTAATAATTTTAACAAAAAAAATAATTGAGAAACCATTCTTTACTTAAAAACATACAAAGTAATAAGACAATAATAGCCTCGTAATATGTTAATAGAGTATTCAATTTTTTATTTCAATAATTAAAAATAAAATATTTGATTTAGATTTCAAAACTTTAATTGAAATTTCCTTTGAAAACATAATGACAGTTTATATTATCGCATCGTAATATCGTTTTTATAATTAAAATTTTTGAAATTTAATTATAAAATATAACAGTAACATGATGAGATTAATCCAACAAAAATCCCTTAATATTCAAAACTTCTTCAAAGAAACTACATGGTGGATGAAACTTGAAAGATACTCTGATAATTTTGGACATAGATTTACTTATTATTTTAATTAGTAATAGAAAATGGTTCTGATAATCAACACAATTTTGAAGGTGACAATAGTTTCTAGCCTCAAATAAGGGTTGGGTCTCTATCAAAATAAAAGGCTATTGTCACACGATCAATAGCTAGTCCTACTCCCATAGCCCATGTAATTGGGCCATTAAATTCAAAACTGGACT